GGTGTAGAGACCAAAGTGCTCCTGTTACAAAGGCTCCGGTGCTGATCCTCAGGCCTTCAGCAAAGAAAAGGAAAGACAGAACAAAGTCATTTTCACTCAAATGATGCCTATCTGCGAAAACTATAGATTTGGAGTCATAAGAGACCTTTAGCTTCTGCTTCAGCAGTTTCCTAATCATTCTGCATTATCAGGACATTTGACCAAACTCCTCCAGGAAAGGGGGGGCGGGTCCTGTAAGCTGCCTGCCTATCCAATTAGCTAAAGTAGAGCGTGCTGCACGCCCAGATGCTAGTGTTCAGCTTCAGATCTAAGGCACAAATTAAACAGAGACATTTTTCTCTCACACTTACATGACACTGTTTGCTAAAAACACGAGCAAACAGAAGCTAAAGAGACAGTCTGTGCTGGCACATGTGATCTAAAGCTCCAGTTCTTGGCTGACTTTTGTCCTTTGGGTGTGTTGTCCTTACAGTACAGTTCCAGCCGTCCTTCTTCGACTGAGACTGCCCAGCTAGGCAGCAGAAGCAATAGCATATCTTCCCACACGAGGCCCGAGCGTGACCTACGACCTTTGTCGGTGCGCTACTCATCCCCTCAGCACAGCTCCTACCTCCAGCCTGCAGAGAGCTCCAAGCTGTCTCAGCTCTACAGCATACCCTACTCTGCCCAGCACCGGGCCAGCCCGCAGCGGTTGGAGAAAGCTCCACTTGTCAAGGTAATTCAGTCTGGCGTCTTAACTCGATAACCGAATATTCCCTTTGAGACCGCTGACGTATTTTACGTGTCATGTGTGCAGTAACCTAAATAGACACCAGGCAATAGACTGAGACATGCATATGGTGTTAACAAATGGAGTAACACTGCCACTTAGGCTGGTTGAAAGATCAATTTAATCAAAGATGCAAGGAATGAGATCTCTCTTAGAGTTTATAAACAGAGCTTAAGCCAGTCTGGTGCACTCTACTGCTCCACTGGTGCAGATCTGGAATAAGTCACAAAGACACAATCACACTGTAACACTTACAACTAATTGTGGATTAGTTGATTTTTCTACTTCCTGTGTCTATTGTTACAAATGCAAGGAAATTTCTCCTTACTGTAAAGCTAACTCCTGCCTCTGTTTAAATCCTCTCCAGTCTAACAGCTGGAGCACTCCTCAGACATCCCTGAAGTACTCCCTTGACATCTCCCAGCGCCACTCGGATATGTGTGCCCCACGACAACCCTTATCGCCTCTCTACGATGAGCCCTGCACCCCCGAAATCTACTCCTTGGAAGAGGCCAGGCCAGTGGTAAGTGGGCCAATGATACTGGATCCACAGGTTCAATTTACACCTGCACAGCCTGTCTGATATCAAGCAGTGCAAACACCCATAAACACATGAGTATTTGGTCATATGATAACTCTTTTTTTAGAGCATGTCAAATCTTCTATAGAAGTTTAAACGTTTTAAATTGTGATTTAGCCAACCAGTCATTTAATTATTTTAGTTTGGCCTAATTTACTAGTGCAGTAAAATATTCAGTTTTACTGCACTATTCCTCTTTATGAAGTCATCATTTATTTTATTGGATACATTTACTGTCCACTGTAACTGAGGAATGTTGCAACTTTTGTGCTAAAAATGCACATCTTATTTCTTTGTTTCTTAGCCGCGGCTCTGGCAACAGCTGAATCAACAGCAGTACCACCACCAGGAACCCCAGATGCTGCCCTCCTCCTTCCAGCTCCACGACCCTCCTATGGGTGGACGCGGCAGGAGAAGCCTGGTCCTGACCAACTCCCAGGGCCACGCTCTGGACCTGGAGATGGACACACCTGAGAACCAAGCGCAGCAGAGAGCAGAGGCTGTGTCGAGGCTAAAGCTGCTGCCCGTGCCAGGTCAAATGCAAGAGCAGGTGAGAGGCACAGAGATACTCATCTCCCAGGACACTCCGGTTTCTGGAATGCAGTAGTGCAGAGTGAAATGATAAACTGTATGGTAGCACAGCAAGTGTGCTGCAGGTGATATTTAAACAGGTTCAGAAGAAACACACATTTTTAAGAAACCATGAGGATGTTTGTTGTAACTGATCACAGGAAGTAACTGTCTCTGTTTTCACATCTGCTGACAGATACTTCACCCGTCGAGCTCTGCCAGAAAGCCTGCTCAGATGCATTATGGTTACTCACCAGGTAAGAATTAAAGGCATGCAATCAATAGCCAAATAAAACATTCCTTTTATGTTTAGAACGCCTGCGTGTCATTTTTGTGCTCCTAGCCCAGATAGGAAATGTTTTCATTTCATCCTGTGAACAAAGATACAGAGCCCCTTTTTTTCTTTGTGGAGAAACAATGGAGACTCTTTGAAATCTCCAATCTCAAAGTTTGAGCTATAAAAGTCAGCACTGTGAGCCTGTGTGCCTAAAAGGACACACAACATTGGCCACGCTCCAACCACACTGTAAATTCAACACTGTGTGCACTTTGGTGTGATTAAACTCCCGGGTCTGTCAGCAGGTAGACGGAAGGTTAAAGGTTGCAGATTTGAAGGTGTAGGAAATGTGCAAATGTGCCAGTGAATTAGAGCTTAGTGTCGCTCTAAATATGCTGGTGCAGTTGTCCCAACAGGGTGAAGCTCAGTGTAAGAGAACACTGCTCAACAGATTGGATTTATAACCCCACTGTGACTGACAGCACACAACTGCTCACACAGGCTCTGCTATCGTTGATGAAACAAAACTAGGAGTTCTCTGGTCAGTCCAGATTATCTGATTATCCAGATAAACTAGTAAACATGATTTTACCAGGTGATTTTATTTGACGGGCTGCACGTTTTTTACTATTGACCATAAATAACAAGAGAAGGTGGTGCAGCAGGGATTATGCAGCTCTACTGGTTTTTACAGTAAGACCATATTTTGGGACAATGCACATAACACCATAATTACTTTGGGACTGTTTCCAAGTTTACTTAAACAGGGTGAGGTTTGCTTTTTGCTGTGTGAAACTACAAGTATGTTAATCGTCTTCAATTCTTATAGGTCGCAATTCATACCTCGAACCCGCAGAACCAGATGACCAGGAAGTAGACTATGACAACATTTGGGAGTTCGACTGTGATACAGGAATGATCCAGCCAACGGCTGGAATTTCAACAGACTGGACAGGATTAGACTTCGGGGCCAGAGGGCTTGGTGCCATGGCAACACCACAGAGATGGTCATAAAACAAAAAGGATGGCCCGGCGCTCGTCTGGACGTGTGCAAACAACAGATCTCTATCAGGGGGATAATAAAAGCCGGCAAGCACAGCAAGCATCGTGCTGGTCCCACTGTGTACAGTAGGAACCAACAAATCCCAGGAACTGCTTTGTTAGACGTCGGGCAGTTGAGCAGAGGAATGACGGGATGAAGCAAAACGTTATGGAGGTGGCAAACAAAGGCTTCAGTTGTCTGTTTAATATGTAGCATTTGTGGAAGGAGACAGTAGAGGATGCTGTATATACTGTGTAGCTTGAATAATATTTTCTAAATCTGCTATATGCTGTAAGTGCACTGTCATTGGTTTTATCTGTAGTAAACCCAGTTTCTTTTTAAAAATATTTATAGGTTTTTCAAACAGGCTGTTCATTTCATATTATACTGTAATGTGTAATGTTATTAAAGCATTCCATCAGGGCTTGTTATAGTAAAGAATATATGTATATTTTTGTAAATCTTGTACACTTCTTATTTTATTGTGCTATACTGTCAAGGCAAATAGATGTGGCTGTAACTGACTAATATTGACTTAATAATAATAATAATAATAATAATAATATCAGAGGTGCAGAGTACTGATACCTCTGTGGCTTTTTTTCATTTTTGTTTGAGGTGCTTATTTATATTTGGAAATAAAAGTGTTAAAAGTTTCAGTATATTGTGTCTGTTTTGTCCTCTTCTGCATATAGTAATAGGAACACTTTAAAGGTAATAATTTGTCAAAGTGTCTTGGCTTTAAATAAAATTAATAGTGAGTGGTGAAGGATTGGTTTATATTAGAACGTGAGAAAAATAACAGTGTAAGAATAAAACAAGTCTTTTTATGCAAACCTTATGTTGTAAAACAGGTTTTCTGCAGTCTGCACACACTAGCTCACCAGGTGCCTCTTTCAAAGTCTAGTAAGACACCATTTAGTTTCCATGTAGGCAAATAATAAACAACAGTTTACCTGTGATTAATAGATTGTACAGTGCTTTGGAAAAATCATGTGACCTCTCTAATTTCTTTACATCTTGTAGCAAAATGTGGTGCAATTGACTGAAACATGCAGGCATACACGGAAATACAGTAAATGATTTAAAAACAAGAGTTTCAGGGTTAGAGTTGTACAATTATAACCAGTTTTAAAAGTCAGTATTTTGTATGAAAATCCACCTTAGTTGGTGCAAAAATACTATTTTATATCTGTCTTTTCTTTAGTATTTTTCCTGGATTTAATTAATAAAATGATTGTAAGCTATGAGAAACTAGATTTCTGCTAGTAACAAAGTGCCTGAAGATACAATTTAAAGCTATTTGCTAAGTTGTCTGTCACGCGCAGACACAACAGTGATTCATTACTGTTAGGCAGCTTTTTCATGCTCAAATGATTCATAAGTCAGTGTTAACTGGCTCAACAAACAACAACAACAAAAAGATTCCTTTGAAAAATCAAGAGAACTTTGAAACACTTGGAGTTTATGGTCCAGTGTTGCCCCCTGCTGGACAAAACGTCTTGACAGAGTGCTCTTTGAATACCAACAATACTGACCAAACTTTTAAACTCTTTAAATTTAAACAGTATATTAAAATACATTGTGATATAAGCTTAGTCTTATATTTCTGTACTGATTTATCGGCAGTATTTTGTTTATTCTAGGGAAGAAAGACATTGTAAATCACACAGCTGCGTCCAGTTACATGAGTGTATGTCGCCATCTAGTGTTTAGAAAGGTTTGCGTGCACGTCTGCTTTTTCAATAACACACACAGCACACAACCTACACTGTTTACTTTAGTTCAACTGAAAGGCATCACTGCCATTATCATCAACATCCACAGCTCAGTGCAACATATGACAACAGTATACAGATCTCTGTCATTAACATAAAATACCATTCACATAATATATAATATACATATAACTGATACTGGCACAGAATGCTGTCCCCCTTAAATAAATTATGCTTCTGAATGGGAGCGGCTACAGTGGCAAATCTGTAAAATACAATAACTGTGAGTAAGAATATTTTAAAAGTTTGGTTGATTTAAATAGAAGCATCTGCTACCAAAAGTCATGTAATGGAAACAAGTTTGTGTAAATTTCTCCTCAATCTCTACAGTCTCTCACACTAATCCACTTATCACTCATCACCTCCAAGCTTGCTTCACACATACTTATGCATCTGATTTTTCTAAAGCCTTCTTTCAGTCAGATGAGCTTGCCTCATCTTGCCTTTGGTCGTTTCATTTTTTTTCTGAACACTTTCGGATGTTAAAGTTTCACTCAAGTTAAATAACTGCTCTTAAAATAAACACTTTCTCTGGAAAGCTCAGTGAGACGTAAGATCAGTAATCACAGTGCAAACGTGTTTCAACAATCCGCCGCGGACTTTCTGGAAAAGATGGATCACTTCAGCCTCGACATATTTAGAGGCCGAGAGGTGAAGGAGCAGGCAGCGCCCTGCGGTGCAGTTTCGTTTCACAGCCGGCCGCCTCCGCTTTGACGTACTTACGCAGGTATCGAATGGCTGACAGGGCACTTACATTGGCCAGCAGAACTGTGTGGAAAATGCAAGTGAAAAAGTGAGTAATCCTGTTGCTAAAATCCAAGTTTCAGTGTGTCAGGACTTGAAGCGCAGTCACTTAATAAGAACCATTTTGTAATTTCAGGAAAAGGAAATTTTCTGTGGTATTAAACACCCTGATGCTGCACACGTACCAGCCTTCCAAGCATCTCCGACTTGTGGATTTGCAGTCTTCAGCACCCACGAGGCAAACGCAATGCAAACCAGACACATGTCTGACTGTTTGAGCGGCAGGAATGGGGCATCCAACCCTTCAAAGACAGAAATGTTTTGAGTGGGTAAGCTGTTCGTGCAAATGCAACACACAAGAATGGAACAACCATGTACAAAGAAATCCAGTTGTGTTTGGCAGCTGTAAATAAAATCCCACCAAGTTTGGCCTTCCTCTGCTCTCACACAGTGCCCCAGTAAACCTCGAAACACCTGCAGACAGTTCACTTCTAGGAGTATATAAGTATATATATATCTAGTGAGTATTTGTGACATTAAAGATAACCCTCATGGGTAAGCAAAAGAGCTCAGATATCATATAGCATATTAATTAAATGCATTGGAGGAGGAGAGGGATTTACACATAAAGACTCATGAATAAATATGAGGTAATTTCATTTCCTTCACAGCCAAACACAATTACAGCCGGCTTAGAGCTCAGATATGACGCTCATTGAGTGAAGTCAACTTATCACGCACTACCATTCCTCTTAGCTTCACTCCTGCGTGCCTGCAGTCCAGTACGGATCGTGTGACAGCTGAGGAAAGAGAATCTGTCCCAGTCAGGACTGTAACAGCTGACCGAGCAGTGGACATGTCCAACGTTACAGTCGTCCACATGTGAGGAAAACAAAAAAGAGCTTAACTAAACCTGATTTAATGAAAAATAGTCTATTAGTTTTGGTTTTTTGTCTGGAGGCCTCACAGAGATGCAATCTGTTGGACAGGTTCATACAGTTAGAGCAGTCTTCATCTTGCTCTTCGAAACATCTTTTTTAAGTTTAAGTGTGTCACTCTAAGATACTGTAATACAGAATTTTTTCACTTTTCCATTGAGGCTGGAGTGGAAAACAATATCAGGTCCAGCATACTGTAGGTGAAGTGTTCAGAAGACAACTGGACTCTATTCACCTCCTCTGGGCTGTGTTTGCTGCCTCGTTCAGGAGATTTTGGCTGATCACAGGCAGTGTTGGTCAAGTTACTTGAAAAAAGTAATCAGTAACTAATTACTGATTACTTCCCCACAAAAGTAATCCCGTTACTTTAATGATTACTTATTTTCAAAGGTAATTAATTACTTAGTTACTTAGTTACTTTTAAAAAACACGATTTACAACCTGAATAGGTGATAAAGCAACAGATCTTTCAGCCCAATTCTACTTTTTCTGCATAATCCATCATACAAAATGTAATCAAATGGAAAAGTCTCTTTTTTAAACTTGTTTTATTAGTTTTAATCTTTTAATTTTTTAACTTTAAAATTTAATTATATGCAACATTCTCTGACTGGAAGAAATTTGTTTAATATTTAAACACATTCCAGCACATAAAATATATATATATATATTTTGTGTTTACACTCACTCTTTCAAGTAGATGCAAGTAAAACACAGCAGAAAATAAATAAAATCAAAGACTAGCGGTCCTTTTGCTCTATTTTCACCTGTAAAGCAGGACTGCGGGTAGGTGGAGGTTTACCCTGGTGTAGGTGTGCCACAGCGGTCAGTGGAAGAATCCGCGAGTTTCTCTGTGAGTTTCCCATTATGTCATAGCGCACTCGGTGCTTGCTTGGAAGTTTATGGGGTTTTTTTCGCTGTAAAAAGAAGTTTTCTTCCTACGCGCAGCAGACGCTAATGTTTTTGTCACTTTTTATGGAATCAAACTCAAAGTAAGGTCAGTACTTCCACGCTTTAAACGCTGCACGCTCATACTCTCTCCCGCACTCCATATATTATCCATTGTTGATCTGCACACAGCTGTTGTCATGAATGTCACACTTGCTTACATCACTGTCATGAGACGTTCTCCCAAAAACATCACGGTTTTAGTAACGCAGTAACGCAGCGTTCCTACGGGAAAGTAACGGTAATCTATTTACTGTTTTTGCAATAGTAATCCCTTACTTTACTCGCTACTTGAAAAAAGTAATCGGATTACAGTAACACGTTACAAGTAACGCGTTACTGCCCATCTCTGATCACAGGTCATTTTAAGATTTGAAAGCAACTGAGTGCTGCTTTGTGCAACGATGACAAATTTAGACCCCTATCTGATACGTGGACATGTTTGTAAAATCAGATGGTTAAGCTGGGAGAATATAAAGAATGAATGAGGGAAAAATGCATTTTCTGTCTTTTTTCCCTTTCAACTTCTTACAAAAAATAAAGGCAAATTGAATCATTTACTTGGAATTTCAGTGAAGATGCTACTGAGATCTCATCTCTTTACTTTTTTAAATCAAACCAATCCAAACTGTTATGTCTGAAATCCAGGATACATACTGAAGATTCGACCACTGCACATTGCAATGAATCTCATAACCTAACGCATTTCCACGGTTACTGTGTGCATCGTTGTGTTAAAGTGGACTTACTTGGATTTGAAACGGCCGTCTGCAGGTCTTCGTATCTGAAAGGCTGCTGTGCTAGTTGGCTGACTACCCTGTCCTCAAAGTGGTAGAGCAGTGGATCAGGAAACATCACGTCTTCATTTCCCAGTGCATTCAGAGAAGAAACTGTCCTTGCATGAGAACCGCCCCTTTGTCTCGCAGGTACGAGAGACAGAGAGTGCGACGCCTGGTTTTGGACTGTAGATGCTGAAAAATTTATGTTCCTGAAGGAGAATGTTGTTTTCCAGAAGAAGTTTTGTCTGAGGTTGTTCTCTGCAAAGAAATCATCATACATGTCTTTAGAAATATGAGATGAGCTCGCCTTGCGGCTGAACCTGGTAAATACCCTGACAGGACCGGTGTTATCCTCTTCATCGGATTCCGACTCGTCAGATGAGGATGATGAGGCAAAGAAATAATCATAAGCTTCCGGGAACTGGAATTTTCTGTTAGCTGAGCGAGAGCTGGAAAAGATAGGAACTGGCTTGTCTTTGGTCTCATCTTCAGTTGCGATGAGCGGATAGAAGAAGTTTTCTGTGTCGAACTCAGAGAAAAAATGATCATACGTTTCAGGGACTGAATTCCCGTCATCGTAGAAGGTGGTTAAGTTATCTGCAGCTGGTTGGCTGGGAGCAGTTTGTTTCCCTCCAAAGAAGTACTGAAATATATCTATGAGAGAGATGCTGTAACTGTCTGTCAGAGAGGAAGGCAGAGGATCTGTGCCTTTGTCTTGCTTAGGCAAGACATACTCTGCTTTCTGAGATTCTCCTTCATCTACTGTTTGTAAAGTTTCACATTTCTGCGTGTAGCTAAATGACTCAGACTCGAGTGCACGTAAGTTGTGCACGCTGATATTTTTGGAAATCTTTCGGAGGGACTTTTCAGCCTTTTCTGAGAGGAAAGGTCGAGAAGTGTCGCTCACAGATGTCAGCATCACATTTTCAGGGTAAATATCAGCACTTCGGCTCACGTGGGCTGATTCACTCTCCCATAAAACACTTCGTGAAGGGGAAAAATTGGCCGCGCTATTAGGATTAAAACATGATTCTACAGCATCGGGGAAACCAGAGGCGTCCTCGGTCGTTTGCTCGGGTGTGGACTCGTCTATTTGAGTGAAAAAGCCTGAATCTGCCATCTCCTCTTTTTCCTGTAACGGTGGGAGGGAGCTGGGTGGAGCAGCTTTGCTGATCATTCTCAAACCCAGAATGTCGTTTATTGTCAGCTTCTCCATCTCACTCCAAAAGGAAGACATAGCAAACACTGGATTCAGCACCCGTTCAGGTTTACATTCAGCTTCGGGTACCAAGATGGCATCTTCCGCTTTTCCCAACAACTCGCACACTGAGTCTGAGCTCTTGAGTCCAGATTTCTCGTCCCCCTTTTTTCCTCCATGACCTCCAGACTCTTGCTCGCTGACAGATGAACAGAAACTTGCTGGCATGTCTCTGATATTTCCATTTGACCGTGACTCTGTGTTCAGAGTACCACAGGATGATACATTTGTGATATCTGAAAGACTTGTTAGTGCATCTTCAGACACGGGTGATTTGGTTTCTGCTCGACTCTTGCTTGTTATCTGTGATGCCGCTAGTGTTTCTGTGCTTTTCTCTGAAATATCTAATTTGGGTGAGGTGTGAACCTCAAGAGGACACTCTGTATTCACACCTATACAGGGTGAACTTTTAGACAGAAAGCTTTCATCGGGCGAGGGATTAAAACTATCAGATGTAAATTGAGCGCTGATAACTTTGCAGGCAGAAGTTTTTAATTGCAGAGGTTTTGTGAGCAAGCCTTTTAAAGTCGAGGCTGTAGGTGGAGAATAGTCGGTGTTTGCCATTGTGCCGCTATATTGGTCTGTGTTGTGAAACTCCTTTTCCAGCTGTTGTTGGGGCTCAGCCTCACTGGGACACAGTGTGGGCTCGTCCCCGCCAGAATTTCCAGCCTCCACAGCCAGGACTGACTTAGCGGCGGGTTGTCTGTCATTTTGGCCGACTTCCACAGAAGTAGCATTTGACTCTGAGCTCGATAAAAGACTATGAGTTACTGCTTTGACCTCTACAGCAGATGTGAGATTCTGTTCATTTTCAGGTGAAGTGACGGAGTGACGCCCCTCGACTTTTATGTCCCCGCTCTGACTTTCTCTGCCCATGTCTGGTTTACCATATTCACCTACTGTCATTAAAACTGACAGTTTAGGATACATTTTCAGTCCAGCTGATTTTTCCTCCTGCGACTCGCTGCAAACCTCTGAGTTTGTTGCCACAGTAGCACTGCTGTTTGGTGCAGACGTTGCACTGTCATCAGTTTGACTCAGTGTGGTCGCTGAGCTATTGTTTGCTGAATTATTGTCGGATGTATCTGTACTCCTCCTCTGCCTGCCCACACTCTCTGACAAATATTGGTGCTGACTATCACATGGAGGATTAGAAGATATAATGACCGGGAAACTGCTGCTGGTCATTGAATATGGTGTTAGAAGAGATGTGAGATTTTTCTGTGGTTCGTTTAAATAAAACGACTTGATATCCTCAGAAAAGCAGAGACCTGTTCCTGCTTTTGACGGGCACTGCTCCTCCTCCGAGTCGCTCGGCTTGACTAAAACCTGCCTCTCGTATCCGTGCCCACCTTCGCCTTGCTCCACACTGAGCCGTCTCTTCTTTCTCCTCTTCCTCTTCATGGAAGCAGACGGAGATTCTTGGATCACTGCTTTGTTTGAACATGCTGTGTCTGACTGTGAAACAATAGGAGTTTGGTCTTCCTGCCATTTAATATTTGCCATGTCCAAATCACTGGCTAAATCAGTGGCACACTTTTTACAGAGGTGTTTCAACAATTCTTCCTCTTTAAAGTCATGTAGAAGTGCGCATGTCTGCACCTTGTTTGGTGTGGTCACTGAGCAGACGGCCGTGCACAGTGAGTCACGATTCCACTGCTGTACGTCGCTGACTCTGGGTTCTGTGCAGGCTTCCTCTCTGATGAATAACTCAGTTTCAGTTGATTTGTTAGTGTTGAGTACTGAGTTACTGGCTGCATGTTGCAAGGAAATGCTGGGGTCAGAGTGCACTTTTCTCAGTGTGTTTGTCTTTCTGATGGTGTCGACAGGCCTCTTGCTCTCTTTGCCAACTGCTGTTTCACCCCTGGCAGGCAGAAAGTTTAACTTTTGGATGTTTTTTGGCAGTGCATCTCTACTGGCCTGCTGCCCTTCGCTGCACCGCTCCGTCTCTTGTATTGCCTCACTGTTTTTTCCAAAGTTCACTCGGCTTGGCTCAGGCTCTGTCAGACTTTTCAGCCTTTCAAAAAACATATTGACGGACTGCAGGTGGATATCCTCCTCGCTGCCCGAGAGGACGCTCTCCATCCCTCCTATGCCGTGTTTGCTGAGGTAGTGTTCCACAGGAGAGCCCTCACAGTGTGGCGGCCCATCGATAGGGCGGTCAGTCTCAGAAAAGCCTGCGGTTAGATCGACTCTCTGAGCCCTCATGGCAAGAACAGACCCCGTGTCATCAATGTCACTCATCCCCGAATCTTCGAGACCTGCTAGCGATGGAGGAAGCAGATTACACTCCTCGCACTCTGCAAAGAAGCGCTCCCAGTCACGGTCACAGATTTCCACACTGTATTCAAACTCTTCCATTTTGCTTCAACTTCAACAAAACCTGCAAAATCAATTTAAAGAGCTGTCAAGTAAAACCCTTGTTATCAGGTAATATTAACATTTACAGATCTTGTCAGGATGACTAGCAAACTCTAATCTCAAATCAACTCATTAATAAAGCTGCTTATGAAAAATCCAAGGATATGAATTTTAAGTGCGCGTCATTTTCAATCCACAATTTAAATTGCAATGCAAATCATAAAACTAAAATGCCACAACTTACAACTTACTTATATTAAAATTACAGCATATAGAATTCAAATGTTTATGTGTTTTAGCTGTTTTGTTGTACTTTTACATCCAAACATGGTTCCTACCTGTCCTGATTCAAGCTGTCCTGCTCTACAGGAGATGAAGGTCAAGGAAGTCTCTGCAGCACCATGCTGTACGTCCTCTGGTAGGTGTTCTTGCATGTGAGCATGCGACAAGGCAAGCCCCATGATCTGATAAATATAGAGCGGTGCTTCTGATCACGTAATACACGCAGTGTTCTCACAGCCGCCATCTCTAACAGAGGTATAACATTTCTGAACTTTAAATAGATTCTCCCCTGGCAAACTGCTAATCTGCTTTTAGAGTAGCTTTAATGTTACTGTTGTTTAATTAGCAGAAAAACTCTTGGCATATTTAATTAAAGTTACGTATGTTTTATTATTAATCCTGACTTTTGGTCAAATAAGTGTGCTTAAACCTCAGCAAGTAGCCGGAGTGGCTGGGAGCAGCTATAAAAGAGGTCCCTCAGCAGATATGGGTGTCATGTGAGGTGTGTGTCAGTCAGCTGATACCTCACTGTTGTGACATCATGGGGTGACAGCCAATATGAAACTTTCCCATGCAATGTTTCCAGCTAAGGCGAGCCAGAAAGACAGACGGAAGAAAGTGGCACAAATGACTTAGACGTCATTTGTGACTCTTCTGAGGCTGAAAATCAGAAATACAAAGAAAAAAATAAGATTGCTTTATCTGAGGAAATAAAAAAATATATAAAGATGTTCAAGAAAATAAATAAAGGTGCTTTATTGGCAGTTTCTAAAAACAATGCCAAAGGATCAAAACACAATTTAGTGAAAAATACACAGACCAATCCATACACTGATTAACTTCAATTTAAATAGTCTTAATAAATAATTAGGTGTTACATACAAGCACATGTGTGTGTCCAGGTCATTTATTGTCTGTCAGGTTATGGCATGTTAATATAAACTGTTCATCTGATGACTGATGTAAATATCGAATCAGCCAATCACATGGCAGCATTGAAATGCATTCAAACATGTAGACATAACAACTGCAACAACATGCAAACACAGCATACACAGAAGAGCATCTCTGAATCAAACTTTGAAGCAGATGAGCTACAGCAGCAGAAGACCACACCAGGTGTCACTCCTCCCAACTAAGAACAGGAAACCGAGAGTACAACTCACACAGGTTCACCAAAATTGGAGAAGATTGGACAAATGTTGTCTGCTCTCACGAGTCTCGATTTCTGCTGCAACATTCAGATGGTGGTTTCAGAGCTTGGCATAAACAACATGAAAGCGTGGATGCATCATGCATTGTGTTAACAGTTTAGACTGGCAGCAGTGATGGGGGAAACTTCCATGCTTTAAATTCAACATCCTGTCTGAGTATTGTTGTTGACCATGTCCATCCTTTTGTGACTGCAGTGTACTCATCTTCTGACATGTCATAAAGCTCAGATCATCTCAAACTGGTTCCTTGAACATGACAGAGAGTTCACTGGACTCAAATGACCTCCACAGTCACCGCATCTCAATCCAATAGCTCACTTTTGGGATGTGCTGGGCTGTATGATGCTAGTACATCAATATAACCCAAAGTCTGTGAGGAATGTTAGAGGGTGTACGTTAAGTAACCAGATATTTCCTGTTTCCTTCTGATAAGAGAATTTTTAATTATGAGACCTCAATTAGCTTATTGAAATTTAGCAATACAGTTAAATTAGAGACTGCAAGCAGTCCTTGTGTCATTAGATAATTTACATTTCAATCTTTGTTTTAACCTCACCTGTCTAATAGTGAAGACAAGTTCTGTTTCCTTTATCGTGATTTTTTGTGTGTTCCTTCCAACATAAAGCCTATTTCTTCGTTGCAGTGTTTTGATGGGCTTATTTGCATCGTGTTATCATTTGGTTTGGAGGGTGTCTTTAGGGCTGGATTTAGGGTGATTAACCTTGAGTGAATGTTAATTGTCAGTAAGATTTTGCCTAATTCTGCTCAACAGGCATTTGCTGGTGTCTTATGCTTTACTACAATATAACACAGGGAAGGACGACACTATGAAAAATTTTAAGTGAAATTTTTATTGGAATTTTAGCGAATGAACAGTTTCTCATACATTTTTTTTCTTACATTTTCAGTTTTTCTACATAACAAAGAAACATTGCTGTAACAAAAAGAAGAAATCTGTCAGCATGACTCTTTGGGTTTAAGGTGTAAGAAATAAACGTGCAAAATTACAGAACATTTTTGCAACTCATTGCTCACACTGTCCTGTAATTAAAAAGCATTTTATTTAATTGACAGAATTCTGAAATCTACTACTGTAAAAAACAAACACACAAACAAAAACAGAATTACTTTAGTACAGTAACTTTTCTCTAATTTAACTGTTTATTTGTTACGTTGGTGTAGCATGAATGGCCGTGGGGGAGGCCTTCATCGGTAGAAAAGTTGTAAAACATTAGAAAATAAGGTTAAAGTCTGAAGTCTATGCCCTCTTTCACATTTACAAAACAGTCCAGCGATGTTTTACACCCCTGCTTTACACAATCAACCTCTTTACACAGCTTTCCAGTTCGCACTCCTTGTGTTTTCTTTCCTAGTTTGCATTCCAAATATCTTTTCCAGGTTTGTATTTTTTTGTTGTCTTTTATTGTTTCCTTGTGCTTTTTGATTATTCTCCTCGTGAATCTTTATCTTACTGTCTGCATGTGTACATCGATTCCTGACCAAACATTTGCTTTTTGAACATTTTTTCTGACTTCTGTGTCCAGTGTTTGAATCCTCTCCTTCTGCGGAATCACCTATTGGTTCATATTAAAGTCCTAGTATTAGCTTGCCATTAACAAAGGCTTCTTCCACAACAAAGGGGCTTTACAACTGGAACTGTAAATATTTAGGTCATTAATGGGAAGAGACAGGGGGAAACGGCAGAGAAAGAAGGAAGGGGGGGGGGGGGGGGGGGGAAACGAGGAAGGCAAAATAAGTAAAAGATTAGGACAGGGTGGGAGTGAGAGAAAAAAGAAAGGATGTAAGTGACTTTATTGATAGTGTTGATTTACAGTGCCTTACTAATTAATGTAAGGCACTGTAAATCAATGTAAAGTTTATGTTTCAGTAATTCCACCAAGCTTTCTAACTGAAATTATATTATATTATATACTAAAATACAATTATTTCTGTTATCCATGAATTTTTAAATATACTGTTTTAGAAAAATCAGAAAATTGCAAAGCACATTAGTATTTTTTGATTATGATGCCAAATTACAGTTATTTATTTGGTTGTAGTGGTTGAATGGTGTGCTTGATAAAACTCTCAGAGTGCCAGCTCAAATTTGGGTATGAAAACAAAAATAAGAGCACCGTTTTTAGATTTACACACATCATTGGCAGATTTCTAAAATATTTTTGTTTGGTTGTTGCCAAACTGCTAAAAAGGCGAGGATGTCTTACCTGAGGAGGCCTTGAGCCTTTGTTTACAGCTATCAGCAGGACTCAGTAATAACAACGTGATTACGGGAACATCCTTGCTGTCAAAATATTCCCAACACTAAAAGATACCAAGATAACCGATCAGGCCCGATCTCATTATCTGCTGTTAATCTCAGATTATCAGATGTTGAATGTAACCTTATTGCAGCTGAATGTACTGACTAATGATGACAATTACTGATAATTTAGAAAAAGAACAATTCCCAAATGATTTTTCTCTCCCTGTCACTATTGTTAGGAATAAACAAGCCTTCACAATACACCCAGGCATAACATTATGACCACCTGTCTAATATTGTGTTGTGTCCTGACCCGCGGAGGCATGGAGTCCACTAGACGCCTGAAGGTGTGCTGGGGTCTGTGGCCCCAAGATATTAGTAACAGATCCTTTAAGTCCTGTAAGATGTGAGGTGGGGCCTCTGTGGATCGGACTTGCTTGTCCAGCACATTCCACAGAATCTGGATTGGATTGAAATCTGAGGAATTTGGAGGCCAAGCCAAGGCCTCAAACTCATTGTTGTGCTCCTCAAACTATTTGTGCCATTATCCTGGGTGCATTATCCTGAAAGACGCCATCGGGGAATACTATTTCTATGAAACAGGTCTTAAGCAATCCTTAGGTAGGTGGTTTATTTCAAAGTAACATCCATATAGACGGCAGGACCAAAAGTGTCCCAGCAGTACACTGTCCAAAGTGTCACACTCATCCTTTAGTGCATTCTTGTGACAGGTGTTCCCCAGGTAAATGACCCACACAAATGCTCATGTGCCCATTGTTGGTGCTTTCAGCGATGTACAGGGGTCAGCATGGACACCCTGACTGGTCTGCAGCTCTGTGTATTCTGACACCTTTCTTTGAGAACCAGTATAAACTTTTTTCATCAGTTTGAGCAAAAGTAGTTCATCTGTTGGATTGGACACACAGGCCAGCCTTTGCTCCCCACGTTCATCATTGAGCCTTGGCCTCCAATGACCTTGTCGCTACTTTACTACTTTTCTTTCCTTGGACCAGTTTTGATAGATGCTGAACACTGCAGACTGGGAACACCCCACAACAGCTGCAGTTTTGGAAATGTTTTGATCCAGTTGTTTAGCTATTCCAACATGTTCCTTGTCAAACTCATTCAAATCCTTACACTTTTTTTCTTCTTCTAACACATCAACTTTGAGGACAAAATGTTCAATAGCTCCCTGTTATATTCCACCCACTAACAGGTGCCATGATGAAGAGATAATCAGTGTTATTCACTTCACCTGCCAGTGGTTGTAATGTTATACCTGATCATTTTATTTGTATATGTAGCAATCAGAAGTGATGCCTGAAGGCCGAAAAATGTCAAACAGATTTACTTTCACAAGTGGAGTATTATGGCCTTTGTTAGTCAAAATCTATTAGAACTTTATTGGGATTTTTTATTTTGGATTATTACAACATAACGGACGAGGCTGGTGGACAGAGGAAAAACAGAAAGAAAGACAGTGAAGTTGGGGAAAAAGTTAACAGAAAGAGACTGAGAGAAAAATAGAGGAGACGAAGAGGGATAGAGGGAGAGGGGAAAAAACCTACTGGGAAACCATAGCAACAACCAACATATGCATGCAACAGCACACAGTACTAATAATACAAGATATTTCTGGAGGCAGCAGCAGCAGCCCAAGATACTGTG